ACCATGGTTCTACTGTCACCTGATTTTGTCCCTACAGACCCGAGAGGGACTCACCTGTGGGAGTTCATCAGGGACATTCTCCTGAACCCAGAACGAAACCCAGGACTGATCAAGTGGGAAGATCGGACGGAGGGAGTCTTCAGGTTCCTGAAGTCGGAGGCAGTGGCACAGTTATGGGGAAAGAAGAAGAATAACAGCAGCATGACTTATGAGAAACTAAGTCGTGCAATGAGGTAAATGGATATAAAACTGAGTGTTTGCATACAGTAAACAAATAAAGTAATGTGGGAAAATATGAACTAACTACACRTAGAGAAACTTGTCTGCATTTCACTATGAGTTGATTATTTAAGCCACTGTTAAAATTTAGTTTTACTTGTTTTATTGCTACAGTTTGACATCATGCTTACCATCGGGTGTGTTTCTTTAGTTTGGGTACAACAAGTAACCTTTGTAATGATATATTTTAATTTGTTTTGTACTACACAAATATAAATGTTGAAAAAAATATACTTAAATTGGAATTTTCAGTTTTGCAACATTACAAGTTCAAATTTTGATTCCAAAATAGTAAATCATACCTTTGCAATTTCTTGYTATACAACAGTTTTTATGTGGGAACTTTACATTTCCATTTTGTTTTAAATAGAAAGAATCCATCTCGATTCAGAACATCTTCCTGTCAATAAAATGTCTATTCTGTTTCTGTTACAGATATTATTACAAAAGGGAAATCCTAGAGCGAGTAGATGGACGCAGACTGGTTTACAAGTTTGGAAGGAATGCCAGGGGGTGGAGGGAGACAGAAAAATGAAAATGTCATTAATTTATCATTTCTTTCCATGTTGTTGTGCATAGTTGTGATGTTTTCATTTGCCTTGTTTTTTATATATAAATATGTTTGAATTGTTTACAAGTGTTTGTTTTTTCACATTTATTTGACACTATCACTTCCTTGTTTGTATTGAGACTTCACAGAGTTTGATTTTTATCTACTGTGCCTTATTGTGCCAAAATTTGGGCAGGTGTTTACATAAAATGTTGCAGAAAAAGAACTCTCTCAAGAAACCTGCCAAACAGCTAACATAAAACATAATGAATACAGTTTTTCTTTCCTTTTTTTCATCAAAATGTTTTTAAGATTTTTTCCCAAAGGAACACATGTTAAATAGCAGTCAAAGTGCATGTGACAAACTGATGTATGTTAAGTGTTTTGACACTGATACTGTGAAGTGCCCTTTGGGATGAATGCTTGATCTCTAAAAGGTAGAAATAAGAGTAAAAAAAATCAAATGCAATTCCATAAACTCGGTGCAGCATTTTTAAACTGGTTAAAAACAATATTTACAGCTGACTAACACTTGCTTTGCCTTACTCCATGCTTTACAGTCACCAATCTGTTTAAAATGTGTGCAAATGTTTGTTGAAGTTTATTATGAATAAAAGCTTTCAAATGTTTATTTTTCATGAAAATCATTTTTATAGTGATTGCACAATTAATTATGGAACACCATTTTGAGCATTGTTTTAATACATAAGTATAATTCACTATTAGCAGATAAATCAAATTAATTACAACCATTTAAGACAATATGCAAAATATAGCCACTTTTGCATAAATTTAATAACATTAATTGTAAACTGTAGCCAATGTCCCAGTTATAAATCTGTTCCCTGCAAGATTTATTCCCAGCTTGTTGTTGAAAAGCCGTGCACTTATAGATACTGCAGGTTGATTCTGTTTTATCACAGCAGTTGGAAATGCCACGCGGTTAATTGTTTGCCAGTGCGTGTCCAAGCTGGTTCCTGCAGACAGCTGACAAATGACTGTGCCTTGATTGGCTGCAAGATAAAAGCAGCATCAATAAAAGGGTTCTCTCTCTGGTCTGTGTTCACAAGCAAATCCATGTCTAATCTTCCCTCCAAGTTATCTGGCTTTTACGACCCTCCTTTGCATACAGTGACCTTCATTGACCCTACGTTGCATCATTATTTTTGCAAATGGCTTTAAAATTCATGCAGTGTGCCACTTTTCTTTTCTTTTTTTCAGCTTTTATTATTAAATTTTAGAATACTAATGATGTGAACACAATCAAACTCAGTGCCGTGACAAAGAATTATATCTATAATTCCAAAGGGATTTCTGAAAGATAAACACAACAATTCTTCGTTGAGGAGGAGCTTACTTTTTTATTATTTCATTGATGACTCCGGGAAGGAAAGAAAATTGTACTTTGAGAGCAAATGGAGCCAGTTAGTGCACATAATTGGGTTGAAATCACAGCTGCTGATTGCCGTATTGTTGTAGTGCATGAAACGAGCAGCCAGTTCAGACTGAAGTACATAGCCATCATATTCCATTGTTTTGATTTAATGCTCTTATATGCAGCAATCAAACTTATTTTAATCTCAAAACTCCACTTGTTCTGGTTTATATTTACTTTTCATTTTGAAACGTAAACACAATCAAACATAATAGTGTGTTTTTTAATTCTTTTTATAGAACTTGCAGATCTTTGGATTTGTGCATCAACTACACTGAAACACATTTTGCTTTGTACATATTTATACTGAAAGGTCAAGACATTAGGATGGTACTTGCAAAATGCAAAATGACATCTTCAATCTGATCTTGATTTTACTTTGGGGTATTCTGGGAGTATCTGGGAGCATATGGGGGAGTGTTTTAGATGAATAACTGAAGATAAATGAGCAGTTACTCTATAGGCAAATAATACAGACTGATCTAACTTCTATAACAAGGGCTTATTTTCCTAACAGACCACTGTCTGTCCAACACAAATTCTTGCTTTACATACCCCCAGTGTGTGAGGACGCTCAGAGTCTGATAACACCCCCAATTCAAATCACACGTTTACATGCATAATGCTGTATGTGCGTGATTCATTTTATGGCTATGATGCAGTTCTCAAGAAACAGTAATGATTAAGAGATAGTTCTGTGCCAGAGAAGTTTGAGAAAGCACCGTTAAACCAGCATAACATGTATTTAGAGCGTCTAGGCTTGGTTTAAGGACATCTGCAGCAGGTACTGTGCATGGAAAACATGCACCCAAACCGGTTGTAATAGATCTGAGTAGGGAAAACACACACACACATACACTTCTCATTTTAGCTTTATATTACACTGCTCAAAAAATAAAGGCAACACTACTGCTCAAAAAAATAAAAGGAACACTTAAACAACGCACGCTTACTCCCAATCTTAATCAATGAAATATTCACATTGAGTACTTTGTTCTGTACAGAGTTGAATGTGCTTCACAAAAGTTTGATTTACTTGGACTTGGCGTGCGTTGTTTAAGTGTTCCCTTTATTTTTTTGAGCAGTAGTGTTCCCTTTATTTTTTGAGCAGTGTATATATGTTTTGTAATAAGTACACATCTCTGAAAGATAGCAAAGCAATGTTTTAAGGTTAAAGGATCTATATTGGCTATAACACTAAACTGCATAGATGAAACAACAGCAGCCTTTACACAGCAAAAGTGTAAAAGCTGGCTACAAGTACCTTTATATCATAGTGTCAGAAAATTGTTTTCTGATTTGAATGAGCAACACAAAAACTGTTTTATCATTTAAAGGAGAGGACATTAATTCAATCAGATACATGCTGGAGGCAGAAAAAGGAAGCGATAACAGATGGGATTTTGTATCTGCGAGCCCGCTCAGTGGAGCTATTGTATTGTCTCGGCAGATACTCTGTCCCATCTTATCAGAGACCCTTATCATTTTCTGTTCACACTCAAATGGACCTGTTAGGCATACAGCCCAAATTGTGAGTTAGAGAGATTAGAGCTCTGTCATGGTTGTTTTCATGCTGAAGGACTAAGTCAGAGAACTACATACAAAACAAAACATTTTCTTTTGGACAACACTGGACAACATAATGTGCCCACAATGACAGAAACAACAGATAACAACACGTGATTTACAGGCAGGTACATTTCTACATTTCTGGATAGGCCTGAATGATGTGTTTGTGGCCTTCCAAAGATGCTTTGGTTATTGTTTGCTGCTAGAGCATTCTGTGACAAAAAGGATTTTTAATTTCCCTAAACTACTTCTGATCATTAAATCACTATTTGAATTCCTTGTGCGCACAACAAAGTCACACACGTGCACATACATTTGCACACGCGATACTGAAGCAGTTGGGTGTGTTGTACATATAAAGGTGTTAAAAGATATTCTGTTCACAATAATAAAAATGCTTTGAAATGTGTGTGCTTGTAGATCGTTTACATATGATGGACAAAGAAAAATGGATAAAGTTTAATGTTTAAAAGGAGATGTGAACTTACAGCTTAACATTGCATAATAACCTGAAGTACTATGCTGTATCATGTTTCCTTTGTTTCTTGAAGGCAAACGCTTCTTTCAAACAAAATGTTTTCCTTGGTTTTTGTGTCTTATTCACATTTTCCTTGTTCTCTATTTAAATTAGTGGAAATATAATTTGACAGTTTTTATCCACTCACAATTTTTAACACCATGCAAATATTTTATTTCTGTCTTTCTTTCTTTCCCTTTTTTGCCAATATTTAGTACTGTCACTGCCAGAGACAGAGTTCATTACAAAATATTCCCTATCACATCCTAAAGAGATTTTACATTTATAGTCTTTATTTGTATTTAAAATATACACAAAAATGAAAAATTAAACAACATTACATATGAAATAATGCAGCTGGTGATCACAGAAATTCTATTGAGGCTTAACATTTAAAGAAACAAACAAAACTGACCATAGAGCCTTGTTCTAAAAACATGAGTACACTAATAAACTAATACAAAAAAAAAACACTACATTTTTATTCTGTGAACCATTTTGTCCAAGTGATTTGTTTTGTTATTTGTTTGTAGTTCATGATTAGCTACCTGCTACTTTTGAACAACTTATTGGACAAGGCTACAATATTTAAAGCTAACTCCCTTCTCATTAGAGTTTAAGCCTGGATTCAGTGTCCGTCAGACCCTAGAAAAATTATGTATTACAAGATTATGTATTATGTATTGCAAGAATGTCTTTCAGTGTTTTATATATATA